CAATTGACCTAATTATCCATGAAGCCTGAGAAAGCCGGGATTCATTTCAAGTCTACAAGAGACCGGATATAACTGAAGTTAGAAGGTCACAAAGGTTAAATCGACTTAAGTGCCAAATCTGAACTCACTTGAAAATTGCTATAATTCCTGATTAGTAGTCCTGATACTGCGAGTGATTGCTAAGATTACAGAAGAATTTTACAAACTGGGGTTAAGTAGGCCAGAGATATATTATTTCTGGTTCGATATATCATATGTGCCCTTGAGTGTGTTTTGCTGAGGCTCAGCATTTTGCTCCCGAGAGATTTCAGAACTACTGAAAGAATACTTCCAGTACTGTCTCCAAGCTTACTGTCATTTTACAATTCCTTTAATTAAACAGAAGACTAGGGTTTCCTAACTTCTTCCAGAATGGAATGAAAAAGCTTGAAACCATCCATATGCACTGAGAACCTTCTCGGCTAGGGCTATTGCCGGGGGGGCGGGGGCTCGGTGTTCCCATACCACATTATAGCAACAGCTGAAAAAGGAACATAAGCAGATCAGTTCACTGACCAAATTCACTAGGTATATCTGCTTTAGATAACAAAGTTCCCACCATAGCCTTCTTACAATGTTTATCCCCCCCAAAAAACATAAACATTTATTGTTGGACAATGCTAATGCAGGATGAAAATTGGTTTGTTGAAAAACGCTGATGTTGGAAGAACTCAGATTTATCCAGGAAAACTGTGTTACAGGAATCAAAAGATTTAGCTCCTGAGTGTCACACAGATCGTACCATATTAATATATTTATCTGAGGCCAGGAGGGGAAAATACCCTTTTAAAATATGCATCTGGCTGCAGAACCAGAGGTGGGGAGTTCGATTCCCTACGGGACCTCCAACAGGGGCTGGACTAGATGATCCACAGGACCCCTTCCAGCCCTGGTGTTCTAAGATTATTATTACTATTAGTGTTGCCTATCTTAACCCAGGAAGTGAAGTAATGAAAGCTTGAAGGCAGAAACTGAGATTATCAGAGCTGCCAATGTCCCAGACTGGGGAACACTACAGAAGTAAAATGAACAAAGAAAGCTTGTTCTCTATACTTCTACTTCCCAAAACTGTTAAATATTTAGTAACTCTGAAAATAGCAGGGACTACCTACAACACCAAAATGGTATTTATCAAATATTCTAGAGATTACAGCCCCCCCTTTTTAAAATTCCCCTTAAAGGTATACAGGAATACATAGCAAATACCTTTTAAAATACCCCTGATTACTCCTGGAAATGGCATTTGCTTTCCTATCTAGGAAAGGGCAAGACTTCTCCATTTGAAAACAATGTTAAGACAACCAGCTATGAACCAGGAGGCATCTAGCTTGGAGTTCAATATGGTCAACTTGTGAAAATATAAGCCAACAGTGTGATGTGGCTACAAAAAAGGCCAATGCTATTTTAGGCTGCAATAATAGATGTACAGTTTCCAAATCCTGCGATTTGGCACTGGTTAGGCCTCACCTTGACTACTGTGTCCACTTCTGGACACCACACTTCAAGAAGGATGCTGACAAATTGGAACAAGTTCAGAGCAGGGCGACAAGAATGATGATCAGGGGGCTGGAAACCAAGCCTAATGAGGAAAGGCTGAAAGAACTGGGCATGTTTAGCCTTCAGAAAAGAAGACTGAGGGGGGACGTGATAGCACTTTTCAAATATTTGAAAGGCTGCCACACAGAGGAGGGGCAGGATCTGTTCCCAGTCATCCCAGAGTGCACAGCAGTCCCACAACAATGGGCTCAAGTTAAAGGAAGCCATATTTCGATTGAATACCAGGAAAAACTTCCTAACTGTTAGAGCAGTACGACAGTGGAACCAGGCACTTTAGGAGTTGGGGAGCGCTCCAACCCTAGACGCCTTCAAGAAAAACTTAGATCATCACCTAGCAGATATGCTTTGACTTGTATTCCTGCAACGAGCAGGGGACTGGGCTGGATGGCCTTGTAGGCCCCTTCCTACTTTGCTTTTCCATGATTCTACTACAGTCTAACTTATCTGCAAACTATCTCCCCGACAGTGTTTGCTATTCCCATCCTAGTCGCTGCCACGTCTCCTCTTCCAGGGTCATGAGTGTGGGGACTAGGATGGGAATAGCAAACACTGTCAGGGAGATAGTTTGCAGATAAGTTAGACTGTAGTAGAATCATGGAAAAGCGAAGTGCTAGCTCCCCTTGCTAGTCCAAGTTGGGACAAGATTCTCAGACCTCAGCCTGCCTGTCTTGGGCTTGGTGGGGCCGCGTCGTCCACCCTGGCACCATTCCCTAGATAAAACAGGGGATGGCTGCTCCTCTCCATCCAAACTGGAGTCTGCCCAAATACATGAGGAGTGCTCTTTCCAAGTCCAAAAGGGAGGAGTTTAGTCAGCTAGCACAGTATTTCCTTAGCTTTCAGGAGAGACGGCCCATGTTTACTTGCAGAATGTGGGGGTTGAAGGAAAGGCAGTTCTTAATCATTGCTAATTAAAACCTTGAACACAGCCCTGGATGAGAACCCCTCTTTTATGAGAGGCTCTGATTGTATGGACAGCAAAAGCCACAAGAACCTTGTCAAAAACCTGGTTCTACTAGCAGAAAAGAGTAAGGGAACCTCAAAATACTAGGCATAACAGTGAGGACATTGGGTGTTATTTACAATCCAGTTCAAATCCAGACTGATACGTATGTTTTTAAAACACAAGAAAGCTTTACAGATCAAACCCTAGCGAACGTCCAAGGAAGAACGTATTATGCTTCTGTTTTCTTTCAATGGTGTCAGATGGAATCCAAAATTAACATTTGGTAGTCATCAAAATTACATGTGCAAGCTGATAGAAATGTGAGATGGCCTGGCTCCATAAAGGAACCAACCCATGACCTTGAGTTTGCAAGAGCCAAACTGGGCTGTTCATGATTGTTTCAACCCAGGATGGGTTGCACATTTAAAACAGTAGGAGAAAATATGACCAAAGAATAACAGGTCTTCTTTTAGGAAGTATGAGCCACAACCACTTATAGGTTGATAAGATGGAAAGGTAAGGCCATTATATATATAGGACACTTGCAATAACACAGTACCTTTTAAAATACCACTAATGTATATGTGCCTGAATGGCCAAAGAGAATTTGGCAGATAAGCTATACATTTTAACCAATTTTGAGGCAACACAGGATGACTAATATCAGCAATTATTCCAGGGCTGCCTTCTAGCCCTTTACTCCACCCTACCTAAGCAAAAAGAGAAACATAATACATTACTCTGGTTCACTCTGCCGAAGTGTGACAAGGCTATTCAAATTTCCTTACACACACACACACACACACACAGCCACCCTACCTAAGCAAAAGGAGAAACATAATACAGTACATTACTCTGGTTCACTCTGCTGAAGTGTGACAAGGCTACCCGAATTTCCTTGCACACAGAGAGAGAGAGAGAGAGAGATGTGAAAAGGGCCAATTTGTTTGGAATTTGCACAGACTGTCCACGTTCTACGTCTTCCCCCAGTTCCAATCCCTCCCTCGTTTTTATTGTTTAGTCGTTATACAAATGTTACATCAGCCCTACGCTACCTGAGACCAGACTGCGTATGCGAAAAAGTGCCTTGATAAATTCATAGCAGGGGCATGTTCCTAAGTAAGTTTTCCAGCTCACAAAGAGCTATTAGGAAGGAAATACAGATATGGAAAAGTTGAGAAATATATGGAAGAAATTAGCCTTGTAATATTCCAAAGCAAGAGCCTTTCAACATAAAAACAGAAGTCAGCCTTGCAGTTAATTTTATCATGAAGTGCTCATTAAGGTATCTTAAACTTCTACATATGACCGAAGGAGGCTGCATGGACAGCAGTAGCATACAATAACAATAATCTATACCATATGTTATCATTAACAGTTATGGAGATTTTCAAGCGACAGACACCCACACTGCAGACTTGTGTGTTTTACTACCCAGCCTTGACAAAGCGCCAATATGCCTGTCAGGCCTCAGTTATTCATTCTGCTTTATGAAAACCAGCACGCACTATCACCTAGAATGACTATGTTAAACTCGAACATGGAGATCTTTTAATAGGTTTTCATCTTCGCTTTTGACCAAAACAGAGCCCGGCCTTTGCATATCAATCCTAGCTCAAGTCACACGGCTCCTGAAGCAACACGGTTCAACGTGGATGATATTCAGCTCAAGCACATTAGTTATTTTCAGGCCATTTCTCTTAACATCCACTGGTTCCAAGATGTTCTGACATGAGGGTGATCAGCTAAGAATCTCGATATTCAAAGTAATACACAACGGGTTCTGGGCACTAAAAGTTTGCCAGCTTGTCTACGAGCTTTCCTCAGAGAACAGCTTAACTGCAAATCTGCATACATACTTGTCAGCTTTTAAAAGTTGCGGAAGTACTGTACTGCACAATTTCCAATCATCCTCAGTTTTGCAACTGCAATATTAGTCAGTTTTCTGTGATTTTCTTTCTTGGGTGTTGACCAAATAGCAAGGCTGGCACCCGGTTAATATTACACTTCCATCCTGTTGTGCCTTGAAAGAGCGGAGGGCAGCATACACAGAGCTATCCTATTTTAACATCACAACAGGGCCCCAATCCGTCTAGTTCATGGTCTATAGACTCACACTGCAGACCTAAGCACCCCAGGGTACGTCAGGCTTGCAGGTTGTCTGCACGCACCCCCCGCCAAAATAGCTCTAAGGTTCAAGATGCACATAAATTAGGAAGTGGTGTCAACGTGTGTGTGAAATAAATGGATCAGGAAGCAGCCAAGTCAAGACAGATCTAGATGATAACCTATTTGATCTTAGTATCTCAAAGGATGGAAAAGTGAAGTGCGTCTCCAATTCCTGAGAATTTTAGAGGAAGCTTATGAATTACAACAGTTTATATGGGGGGCACATATTCCTCAGACTTTGACCGACAGCTGAAACCCCTCCTCACCCAAACAGTAGGAAACACACACTTACTCTCTTTCTTTTTCAGTCAGTTTGTCGTTAATGTTATCTTTGATTGCAGACCGGGAGCCCTTGTGGATAATGGGATACCTGAGTGGCACTTGCAAGAAGAAGGAGATCATGGAGACCAAGTGAGCCGTGTAACCCAGCGCGACTGCGATGCTTCCATCATCCTTCGCTGTGAAGGAGAACAAAGGCACAGCTCAGTCCTGTCTCCCCATGTGAGCCATAAAAGGAACATCAGGCCATGCTCTGAAGTGTTGATTGCCTCTTTTTAATGCACTTCTTCCCCCCTTCCTCTGGCCTGATTTTTCCAAACTGAGTTGTGGCAACTCAACAGCACAGAACATTTCAACGGGCACAATCAAACTCATCTGAAAAACAGAAGTAGGGGAAGGCGTTGAAGTTCCTTCCACTTTCCCTACGCCTTCAACTCCATTCTGGATTCCATGACAATGGTCATCAAAGCTGTGTCATGCTTTATAAAAAAATCACTTGTCATGTACAAGGTCTACCCTGTGCCCTAACCTCACCCACATTTCTCTCGAGTTGCTAGTCCTCAACACATCTTAACTCCTTCATGGTAACAACGTTTTCTGGCTCACACTTCACCTCCCTCTTAACCCCCCCGCCGGCCGCCGCGGCATCATCTCTCTCATTTTCTGCTTCTCCTACCTCGGCCCATTAGCACATGGCAGCTAACTTTGTGGCCAACAGATGTTCTCATCTGCCATGCATTCGTTTTTTTTTACGTAAAGGGACAGAAAGATCTGGGAGGAAGCCTTAAAACATGGAAAAGCGGGATCTGTCACACCTCTGACGTCTATGAATTTCTGCCAAGCTTTTTGGTAACAGAAGACAAGATATTGTAACTGGAAAAACATTTTAAAAAATAAACCTTGGTGTAAACTGGGGGAGGGGGACTAGGAATATGTATTTCATTATGAAAAAGAATTTTGGCAGCATGGATTGACTCCACCTTCTCCTGATCAAATCTAATTTTCCACAAGTTGTGGAACTGCTTGAACTGCTAAGAAATCAGATGAAAGCCAGCTTCTTAATGCAATTTGGTGTTTTATTTTTCCTTCATTCAGTTTCCGGGAGCCCTGTGCAGCACCCAGCTTAATTCTACCAGACATGTTTCCCAAAAATGCTAATCACTTTACTGATGCAATCAAACGGTGACAGTCTAAGAAACAAATGGATAAAGTACTTCAAGACTTAACTAACAGAAAAGAAGCAGCAAGTCAGAATTATACGGCTAGAAAAAATACTTTGTTTACAAAGATGTTAAGCAGGCGCATAAAAATTCAGTGATTCAGAGAGCTACACATAGGGCTAGTTTATATTTTTACGCCACTTATAGGATGATGCAAACACAGCATGATAATTTGGTGCATCCTTCTTGCCCTTGGGCACAAAACAGAGCAGTGGGGCTGAGCTGCAAGGGGACAAATAAAACTGATTCAAGGTCAGGATGTGGCCCGGTGGACCAGATAGGCGGGATATAAATTAAATAAATAAATTAAATAAATAATCTCTTGGCAGCTTACAACAATTAAAATACAATTTAAAAAAATAAACCAATTAAAATAGATACTCAAAAAATGGCCATCAGGACCCACGGCTGATATTATTTCAATTAAAAGCCTTCTGGAACAGGAAGGTTTTGACCTGGCGCCGAAATGTCATCAGTGTCGGCGCCAGACGAATCTCACTCGGGAGGGCGTTCCATAGTCTGGGGGCAGCTGCCGAGAAGGCCCTTTGTCTACAAGCCATCCCTCTTACCTCCTTGAGGGATGGCTCTTTCAAAAGGGCCCCCTGGCTAGATCTTAACTGCCAGGTAGGTTCATATGGAAATTGATGCTTATATACTGCCCTATAGTTCTTAAAGCACTCTGTGGACAGTTTAAAGTTTAATTATGGAAGATACACACCGCCACCGCACCCCAGCAAGCAGGGTACTCAGTTTACCTACAACAGAAGGATGAGGGGCTGAGTCAACCTTGAGTCAGCTAACCGGGGCCCACTGGGACTGAACTCAGGTTGAGAACAGAGTCTTGACTGCAGTACTGCAGTTTTAACCTCTGTGCCCATGAAGCTCTTTCATGCCATTCACAGGGAACCAGTTAACTGTCCTTGCTTAGCAAAGGGGTCAGTGTGCTTCAGGGGTTGACTTGAACAGAAAATGAAATAAAACGCATTCTGAGCTATGACTTCCACTCCCTCAAGTCTCACCTCTTTAGCTGAAAAGCCTACTTGATACAAAAGGTAGTTCCAAAATGACAAATAGGATACGAGAAATGCAGCCAACTCAGAATCTGATATAATAATAGAGGTACTGTGTTCTGGAAGGAGTAAAATTCTAGGTGATCAGGAAGGAAAAGGTCAGAGTAAGAGTTTCTTCTTTGAGACCATAAATAACCAAACACAGAAAACTGATGTGGTATCGTAATCATTTTGGAGTAATAACCACCAATAAACTTGCAGAAATCAGCTAATTATTAGAAGAATTACTGAAAGAAGCATGTTCTTTTTCTTTAAAAGAAACACCTCTTCATGAAACTAGTTGGGGCCATTTGTTTTGAAATACTCTCATCAGAAATATCAGCATTTTCGCAACCAGATTTGGTGTTTGGGTTACTCCGTTGGCATGTTTGCACATTGTAATTAGATACTGAAAAAGAGCAGATAAATGACCAGCGATCAATTACCTTGAAAGTCTTCAGAATTTGGCAACTTGACTCCACAAATAAAATAATCCTTTTGATCATTCTGTGGATTTAATAGCAGAAAGTGAGGTTGGATCAGAGCCATGTGAGAATAAAAATCTGGGCTGTAAACAATAGAATCAAAAATTTAACTTGTAATGGAAGCAGGCAGGTCATCAAACATGTGTCACAGGCATTTAGTGGGAAAACCATTCAAAAGAAATCAAAAGCTATTATTTCACTGCTCTGTCGATCATTTTGACAGAAGGCTGCCCCCTCTGCAATTTGCCAGCTGCCTCTATCACTTCCATTGATGGCTCCCCCCTGGCCTGGAGGCATCCTGTAGGAAGGTTTCCCACCTGGGCTTCTAAGGGAGAAGGGCAGCCGAGGAGTACCTGGTTCCTGCCTCTGGTGGCTATCATTTCAAAAGAAGTAAGGTTAAGAGGAGGAACAGAGCGCAGGCTCCTTCAGGAGAATCACAGACTCATGGAGTTGGAAGGGTCCTCCTAAGGCCATCAAGCCCAACCCCCTGTTCAAGGAAGGAATCCCAATCAAAGCAGATCGGACAGAGGGTTGGAACGCTCGCTCATCATCTCCTGAGGGCATGGGTTCCACTGGTCTAACAGTTAAGACGTTTTTCCTTTCATTCAGCCTAAATCTGGCTTCCTGCAGCTTGAGTCCATTCTAACGTGTCCTGCACGCTGGGATGATCGAGAACAGATCCTGCCCCTCCTCTGTAAGGCTAACCTTTCAGGTATTTCAAAAGTGTCATCCTATCTTCCCTCAAGTCTTATTTTCTCAAGGCTAAACGCACCCAGGTCTTTTGCTCTCTCCTCACAGGGCTTCATTTCCAGTCCCCTCATCATCTTTGTCGGCCTCCTCTGAACTTGCTCCCATCTGTTGGCATCCTTCTCCAACTGCATTGTCCAGAACTGGACATATGAGGCCTAACCATTGCTGAATAGAGAGGGTGACTAGTATCTCATGGGATTTGTAAACTATACTTCTGCTAATGCATCTTAAAATCATATTGGTCTCTTTTGCAGCCACATGACACTACTGGCTCATATTCAGATCTACTACAATTCCAAAATCCCTCTCACTCGTATCATTACTGAGCCAAGTATCCACCATCTTGTTACTCTAGATTTGTTTTTTCTCTCCCTAGGTATAGAACTGTGCACTTACCCCTGTTACATTTCATAGTGTTGCTTTCAGACCAGTGCTCAAGCCTATCAAGATCTCCTTGAATTTTGTTCCTGTTTTCCAAGGTATTAGGCATCACACCTAATTTTGTGTCACCCGCAAATTTGAATGTACCCTTGTTTTTTTAAAACATAGTTGGCCCACTGGCCTATGTACAGCTTAGCCCGAAATAAGACTCCTGAATGACAGCAGCTCTTCAGCCCCTCAGGGAGTGGCTTTTCTCAACATGTAATCAGGGTTCTTTTAATTTGGTGCGCCAGGAAGTGAACCTGGAGGCTCATGGGATACAAAATGCACAGTCTAACGTAAGCTACAAGCCCCTTTCTAAAACAGAATGAAACCTTTCTGGCTCTTAAATAATTAACTTACTATCTGGAATAAGACATAAGACATAAGACATAAGAAATGTATTTGTCATTGCGCTCACAAGTGGGTGCAACGAAATGAGGTGCTCTTCCCCAAGGTAAAACTGGACAACACTACAAAAAAAAGTTAAAATATACACAACTTTCACCATCCAAATATAGATACCCCGTTTTCTCTCAGCAATTAAAATTCCACCAAAAACCTATGGCCCCGCATTTAAACTCAATACTGCACTTGGGTAAAAACTGTTCTTGAATCTGCTTGTCCTTGCTTTCAATACCCTGAATCTCCTTCCCGATGGTAATAGTTTAAAGAGCTGATATCCCGGATGAGAGGAGTCTTTCAGTATGTTAGATATCTTCCTCTTACATCTGTTCTTATACAATTCTTCCAAAGAGGGGAGTGAACAGCCAATGATGTTTTGGGCCGTCTTGATCACCCCTTGAATTGCCTTTTTCTCTGCCACTGTGCAGCTCGTGAACCATACACAGAGACAGTAGGATAATATGCTCTCAATCGAACAACATCCAGATTTTCTTCCAAATGGAAGTTGTGTCCTGATTATTATTTCTGGAGCTGGTACAGCTGAATAACCTGAAACTCACCATATCAATAGGGTAAATATAGGAAAGCTCCGACAGTAATTGCCTGCATCGGATGGTCAGCTGTGCGTTGGTCTTCAGGAACTGCTCTCTGGAGAGAAACACAGAAACTGAAAGAGTCAGTTACTTAGTGGTGGCTGTTGGAAGGAACTCTCGCCACCTAGGATGCCTAGAAACGCACACAGACAAAAGCAACTGTTTATTTTTAATGGGGAAAATGTTGCTGTAATATAATGCACTGAACATACGGCTAAAATTTTTAAGAAAAGAAGTATATCCCTCTGACAATTAAGAGGAAAACAATGTTAGAAATGCATGCCAACAGTTCCAGTCAAAGGCAAAAGACGCAACTGACCAGTCCTAATGGAGCTGGCAGCCGATCCTGGGCCCAGGCAGCCATTTCTAGAAACTTCTGCAGCTGAACTGGAGAAAGACAACAGACTCCATATCTCTCTGCAAGTTCGGGAAACTGTCTTGGAGGATGTCCTACAAATATAAACCCCAGACAAAAGAGATCTCCCAACTGGACCAGCCTGGTTCACGGGGGGCAACAGCCACTGCTGGATCCCTCTGCCACTCAGTTCCAGCAGCGTTCCACTGCAAAGCATGGCAAGGCTACAAGACAGGAAGGAGCAGAGTCTCTGCTACCTCACTGGCCCTGCTCTCCTCAATGATTTTCAATGATAGCTTCCCTATTCCCAAATGCATTATACCGAATCCTTAGAAGTGCCAACTAGAGCCCTCCGTGGCTGGCTTTAGATTTCCAGAATCTGGAACTCCCTCCCAAAGGAGGCCAAGGCTTGCTCCCTCCCTGTCTTCGTTCTGCTGGCAGTAAAGATCTTTTTCTTTAGATACACAACTGACCGGCTACAATAGGGCTTGGGGTTCTCCACTTGTCGCTGATGTGTCTTTAACACTGTCATTCAGCTGCTCTTTTCATATAACAATCTGTTTTAAATTTTAATACTGTAGTACGTTTGCACTCCTATCACTTTTTCAAATCTTGCTATGAGATGTTGCAAGTCCAGGTTTCGGGAGAAAGCTGGGATATAAACTAAATAAACCATGTGACACATCCTCTGCTGGGTTCCTTCCTCTGTTACTGGGTCTGAAAGGGCAAACCGGGTGAACAAGCCACCCCTTCCCTCTAACCGAGCACCCTTTGGCCGTAGCCGGACAATCACACCAAATAAACTCCTTTTTACCTCTGAGCTGTGCATTCTTTCCTCAACTCTTGAAGGGGTTCTTTGTCCAGCATGAGCTGCCGATATTCCTCTTCAAAAACATTTCCTAAAAAAGACGTTTTAGGAAGAAGGTACAGGTGATTATTCTTTGTCTTTTTGGGACTTAACCCTGGTGATGATAACAACGCTATTTTTTTTAAAATATCTACTAAGAAAGAAAAACTATGAAGGATAGCATGGACACACTTTTTACAATATTAGTTCTCTGTCCTTGTTGTTGTTTAGTCATTAAGTCGTGTCCGACTCTTCATGACCCCGTGGACCAGAGCACGACAGGCCCTCCTGTCTTCTGCTGCCTCCCAGAGTTGGGTCAAATTCATGTTGGTTGCTTCGGTGACACTGTCCAACCATCTTGTCCTCTGTCGTCCCCTTCGCCTCTTGCCCTCACACTTTCCCAACATCAGGGTCTTTTCCTGGGAGTCTCTGTTCTACTAACCTTTAAACTATGGATGGGGGCTTGAGTCACTCAACTCAGACTCAACGTGCAACTTGGAAACCAACCAATCCTCACTTTCTTTCTGGGGGGGGGAAGCTTTTTTTAAATAGGGACTCAGACTCAGGGATTGGGACTCGGACCCAAAGACTTGTCAACACCCCTGCTCTAAACAAGGTTAACAGCAGAAAACTAACCTGGGATTTATAGATTACAGTGGTGCCTCACTTAACAAGCGCACTGTTTAATGACGAATCCGCATAGCAACGTTGTTTTTATCGCATTGCAATGTTTTAATGGTAAAACATCGCATTGCGATGATCGGTAAGCGTTTCGCTTACCGATTTTCGCATAGTGATTTTTAAAAAACAGCTGATCGGCAGTTCCAAAATGGCCGCCGGGTAAAGAAAACGGCCGCCTGCTGTGTTTCTGCCCGGATTCCTCGCTTACCGGGCAGCGAAAATGGCAGCCGCATGGAGGATTTCCGCATAGCGGTGAGTTTTGTGCCCATAAGAACGCATTAAACGTGTTTTAATGCGTTCTTATGGGCTTTTTTCCCTGCATAGCGACGAATCCACACAGCGACGATTTTTTTCGGAACGGATTATCGTCGCTATGTGGGACACCACTGAAAAAACATTTATGGCAGAGCAAGGATGTAAACTCCTAAATCTCATGGTCTTGTTATCCATTGCAAGGCAAGGCACTAAGGACAGAATCTCAGTAATTCACCACTAGGAATGGACTGGACCTGCTCTCAAGCTGCCCATCCTGCCATGTCTGCCTCCCTGAGGTAGGAAGCCTCCTGCCACCTTTTGCACTCACCTCTTTCGAACAGCGCGCTCTGTTCCTTATGCAGTAAAGCCACTTCTCGGCCCAAGGCTTTTTTCTGCCTCTCCAGCTCGTTCCGAAGCACCAAAATCTTCAATTGTAAACACTCGCTTTCCTTTTTCTATCAAAAACAATAAAGGTGCAACTCTGAGGACGACTGCACACTCTCAGGGGAAAAAAAGCACTGCACAAGCCATTTATTAAAAGGTCCCGGCACATTCCTCGTGAGTAAAGTCTTGCGTAGGATCATGTCAAGACCAGACTCGGACTACACATCATAACTTGCCTTGACGACAGCTGTGAACACTTGCAGGACATGGCAGTCACAAAACGTCCAGTAAATTGCATTACAGAAACACTCGGTGAAGTTCTCTGCATAATTCCCCCTCTCTTTCTCACCAACCGGACGTGCATTTTGTGTGAATTCAAGACCGCATGCTGCAAAAGGCTGTAGCCAAGGGCACGGGAGTTCCTAGTCGCTAATTCAAGAGCCACGTACGCCCCTATAGAAGCTATCTGACTGCCACTTCCACCAACTTCAGCTAGTCCAACCAATGGGGAGGGCTAATGGCAGCTGCGGCCCAACAACATCAAGGGCCCCTCCAGTTGCCCACCCCTGCCCTGACTGACATCAACCCCTCAGCAAGGAATCCAAATAAGCTCTGCTGGTGGATGCTTCAAACTGGCATTTTAATTTACACCTAGTGTAATACGATTCTAGCCATGTTCTCACTGTTGCTGTTTTAATGACTGAAGATGTATTTTACTGGAGGTCCACCCAGATATTCCACACTGAGCATGAAGTCCCCAAAAGGGCCATATGGGGAACACGGGAGTGGGAAAGCATCAAATCCCGGCAGCCAAAAGAGCTGCTCCAACTGTAACACCCACAATTTGAGAACTTCCCCCATGACTCCAGCTATTTCGAATGTCTAAGTAGTCATGAAGAGCTGGCTAGAGAGCTCAGGGGTTTAGGAATCTGGCTGTGGAACCAGAGTTCGATTCCCCACAGTGCATCTCCAGAGAAAAAAGCCAGCCTGGGTGGCCTTGGGCCAGCTGCACAGTCCCAGGGCAACCCCGGAAGAAAGGAAGGGTAAACCACTTCTGAGTACTCTCTACCTACAAAACTCTGGGAAGGACTGCCATGTCAGAATTGACTTGATGACATGCACACACGCACGCACGCACGCACGTGCACTCTTGATGACATGCACAAACACACACACGCACGCACGCACGCACGTGCACATGCATGTGCGCACGCGCACACGCACACGCACACACACACACACACACACACACACACACACAAGCATTCTAAGTGCTCTTTCTTTAATTCTGTCTCCTTCTTTGTCTGAACACCCAGACCTATGCCTTCATCCAAAACAGAACTTTTTCAGTGCACAGATCTCTTCTGGAATAAATCTACTGATATGCTTTCTTCCCCTGTTCACAGAGGCTGCATCATCACTATATTTCTCTTCTCATAAGCTGAGGTATGGTGATGCAATCTGCTTTATCTTGGGAACTAAAGTGAGCATTGCACAGAGGTGTTTTGTTTTTTAAACAACGACGAATAATAAAATGCAACTTTCATTACCTTACTTGTACACATGATCAATGGATTCCCTATTTCATACTTGTATAGGAAACCCCACAGAGAAATTTAGGTATTGCCTGAACACAAGATATGTTGGCCCAGAAGGAAGAAAATCATCTCTGGGCTGAAGAGAAATGCAAGAGTACAGTAATACTCTGTCTTGAAAGAGAGAAGGAACACCTCTTCATATTCCTCATAATATACAGCCAGCTTTATAGAGGACCCGATTTTTCTACTTCACATCCAAGGTTTTTTTAGGCTAGGACCACCTCATCAAAATAAACACACAGCTACTCACTCAGGACCCACCATAATGAAGAGAATGAAACACCACGAGGTTCACTTTTTAAAGTCATTGATATGAGATACCAGGTGTCTGTCGGACTGTGCTAATATAAACTTCCAAATTAAAGTCTTTAGCTAGGCTGGTCGCCACGTTAAACTGAACCTCTTCACATTAATTGGTGCCAAGAGGTGGCTTTCTGCCGAATCCACTTAAAACAAAACAAAACAAAAAAACCCCTGAGCCTAAGCAGGCAATTAAAATGTTTGTCTCTGCATCCAAGGACTTGTTACAGGCATTTTGCTCATCCTCAAAAGCTTGGACCATCAGAAAGCTCAGCTGTTACATGCAGCCCAAAAAATCACAAGGTTCACCACTCTTGCTACTGGTAGCTCATTAATCCCAATCCATACAAGTTTGTTTTTCCTGGCAGTCACTTTTTGCTCATTTGCCACAGAGCCAAAGTTGATGCTTTATAACCGCAAAGCATTAGGAGGCCTATTAATTTGGTTTTTTTTCCCTTCTCAGCAATTTAGGTTTAATCGAATATATAGAGATGTTGGGCTTTCCAGATAAATATTTCCAGTTAATAATAAAAAGGAGCTTGAGTTACATGCGGGAGTGACAGTGTCTGAATGAGTGCACACAGCTGCAATCGTTATATGAAGACATCAAATGATTTCTTCTATTGCTGAAACTTCTTATAAATCCATCACTCCCAGCAATGAGGGTAAAATTAAAGCAAATGGGATCTAATGGTTGAAATCCTGTTGCTCAGTGTAGTTAAATCCCACTACAGCACATCCATTGAATCAGTGGAGATTTAGGGAGTCAATGCCTCCATAGGTTCCACTGATTCAAGTGGACCAGCTGTAGTTGCAACGTACTATGCTGAAGCAAGCTGGAATTATATAAAAACCCTTTTAAATCAATGGAACGTACAGGAGGTGACTTGACCGATCCTCACTGATTCAGTGAGCCTCTTCTAATGTGACCTGCTACACTAATCAACAGGATTTCAGCTGTTATATCTTCTATAACTGCATAATTTTCTCCATAGTTCAAGCTGTTTTTTTTAAAGATGCCCTGCACAGATGATGCAAAGTTTCAAAATTTGTTTTTCCACCTTAATCTTCCTAAACCTGTGCTACTTATCTATTTCCATTATCTATGGTCAGAGGTCCAAAACATAACAGAAATTTCTAAACATATACAGGATTCCAGTTTGCAATTTTGCACACAGCAGGACCACCATATCCATGGGGCGGATCCATTCCATGATCAACGGCGGATGCCTGAAACCACAGATGTCGGGGAACCCTATATATAATACAATTCCCTTGTATGTTGTATGCAGGGCTGTGGCAAACCGTGGATGAAACCACAGATACTGATCCCACAGATATGGGGGTCTCTGCTGTATTCTATTCACAAGTGCTCAAGCCAAGAATCTGAAATTTCATTATACTGTACCCTGCTCAAGTGCTAATTTAGACCTGAAACACTGAGCCTGAGATGACACCAGACTTTTCCCCCCTAGGGGCTCATGGATAACGGAACGCCACTGACAGTTGTTCTCGCCACCAAGTGCTCTTACAGAAGCTGAGATATAGGAATGAGGTGTGGGCAGGGTCTATATTAAAGCTTCAATCTCTCCTAGCATCTGTTCAAAGAGAGAGAGAGAGAGAGAGAATCTATATTAAAGCTTCAATCTCTCCTAGAGAGAGAGAGAGAGAGAACAGCTTTGTCGTAGCATTTGGCAAAATGAGAAAAGGAAACAAAACAAACACCCGCTTTGAAACCTTTAATTCATAGAAACTGGTATGAAGCTTGCATGCACCCTGGGATGTCTACTCGTAGCATTTGGCAAAATGAGAAAAGGAAACAAAACAAACACCTGAAACCTACCAGCTGGTTGCTTGTCGATGTACGCCTCAGTTTCTCTTCAATCTCCCTTCCTATTTTCTGAACAGTTACCTGAGTCTGTTTAATTGCACATTGAGCCCGGTGCAGCCTGCAAATAAATGCAACACAAGAACTTTTTTTAAACACATAAGTGAACATGCTGGAAGTCTGTCTTTTGTTGAGAACTAGAGAAAGTGAGTAGCAACAGGACAGAGCTGCGGACTGTAAAGTCTTAGATTTACATCCTGCCTCTGCTGTTGCCTTTTCTGGTGGCCTTAGGGAAGCCACAAGCTCTCAGCTGCCCCACTCCAAGCTGCAACACTGTGATAATCCTGTTAACCTCCCTTAAAAGATGATCATTTGGATAATAAAGTGATATGGGCAAAGCGTTTTGAACATCTGCATGTACTTTTAAAAAAGTATACACCCCTACACCTACTTTCTCTGATTATGGCTATCACAGTAGGCATCTTTCAGTCTCAAGGGACTAGGCTAACGTGCTCTGAATAGAGGACTTGGAACAGCGTCTAGTGTGGCTGAGAAGGCCAATTCAAGAGCGATAATCCCTTCCACAAGCCAAATACCATCTGTCCCCTGTCCAGCTCCTTGGTTTTGCTGGTTTCGGGACTGCCTCTTGGCCTCGGCTTGCTGAACAAGTGTCTCTTCAATTCTACTAGATTTAAGAAGACCAAGTGAGAAATTATCTGATGCTACTGAAACACATGCAACTTGTAATAGCATTACCACAGATCTGTTGCTACTGGTGCTCTGTACATCTCAGTACCAGAGTTACAGCAGAATTGTTAAACAGCATGTTGTTCATTACACAAGTACCTTCTTTGTTACATGAGGACTCATGAACAGAGCTGATCTGGGAATACAAACCTACCCCCTTACAAATTCCAAATGTATTGAATTATAGAATAATGCTATTGCACAGAGCAATTCCAAATTTTCTGTCTGAGATGGATATCTGTGTTAGTAAACTGCTCAGGCCTCTGCATCATAAATCAGTTCAATCTGTGTTATTACCAAAATAATTCCAAAACTCTATAAATCCCTGGGCAAAAGGTCGCCATCTGCAGACAATGAAATCTAGTTATGATGAGAGTCAAAAAGGAGATTTTTTCTGAAAGAAAGAAAGAAAGAAAGAAAGAAAGAAAGAAAGAAAGAAAGAAAGAAAGAAAGAAAGAAAGAAAGAAAGAAAGAAAGAAAGAAAGAAAGAGAGGGAGGGAGGGAGGGAGGGAGGGAGGAAACCTCATTTTAAACTCATTCTTCCTTCAAACCATCTCCTCTATCTTGGTCTAATGGTTCCTAATGGTGTTAGTCCCACATTCTATTAATGTACAGGGTTTTCCCCACCATTTCTACAAGAAAAGGTAAATTAAAAGGCAGCCTCCTCCATATCCAATCTTCTAAGTCAAATGAAGCAACAGGCTACAGTAAGTAAAGACAACAGTGTCCATTTCATTAGGAACCCACAACAGCTTGCTCAAGCTAACAGGTAATTTAACACTACTCTTCCTGAGAACTATCTGACTGCTGATAACAGGCTGCATTTTGACTAATCATTATTGATATTAACAATTCAACGTTACTATGAAAGCCAATGTAACTGTCCAATGTAATTGTCACCCTCTTTTCCCCATCTAAGGGCACAGCCAAACACACTATTTTGCTCTTGCTTAAAAAGGTGCTTCGGTTGCCCATTGATTTGGAAAAATAGGCAATGCCTTATTTATTTTATTGGACTTCTACCCTGCCCATCTAGACCAAAGGTCTACTCTACAGATCACTAAAAATCATCATACAGTTCACGAGCCTTTGTGGATTAGAACTCAACTTCATCAGACTTGTACCAGAGCGTAGAGCTTGAAGTCCAAACATTCACGGCATGAATGGATTTTGCCAGGAGATTTGCTCTTGGATGTAAAGTCTCAAAAGTTCTTGGCGTGGTGGAAACGGCCAAGCATGGCATTGATTTGGCTTAGTTTATCAAATCTACACAACGTTCCTGGAACAGCAAATCCCACCCTTTGACTTCTCTTCCATTTCAAGATTATTTCCCCTCACTTGGGAATCTGTAGGGTTTTTTTAAATTTTGCAGCTGGGATCCTTCCAGATCTGTTATATCCACACGTTCCCTCACCTCAAACAAGCCCCATTCCTAGAACGGCATGGATAGTTAGAGGATGCCAACGGAGTTGGTGATGTCAGCTTTGGGACAACTATTCTTCCCCAGCACCACTCACTTCTTGCCTCTGTCAGCAATGTCTCATGGGTTTTTCGCCTGCACACTCTTCTAAGCCCTGCTCTGAAAGCCTAGCCATGCCCCAGATAATGTCGGCAAGGCTAGTCAATTTCACAACAGTAAGTGAAGAGAAGGAGCGCAAGTCTGGGGGGAAGCAAACTACCCTTCCAAATACCTCATGCGGATGAGCCCTTAGTTGGTCTTTACCCCTTCTATCATGTCCTGTGTACAGTATATCTACAGTTCTGGGCATCACGCTTCAAGAAGGATGCTGACAAACTGGAACAAGGTTCAGAGGAAGGCAGCAAGGATGATCAGGGGACTAGAAACGAAGCCCTAGGAGGAAAGACTGAAAGAGCTGGGCAGGTTCAGCCTTGAAAAAGAAAAGAAAACGGAAGGGAGACAGGACAGCACTTTTCAAATAATTGAGAGACTGTCATAGAGAGGAGGGGCAGGATCTGTTCTCGGTTCAGCCTTGAAAAAAAGAAAGAAAACGGAAGGGAGACAGGACAGCACTTTTCAAATAATTGAGAGACTGTCATAGAGAGGAGGGGCAGGATCTGTTCTCGATTCTCCCAGAGCGCAAGACATGCAACCATGAGGCTCCACCAATGTGAGATGGACTGACTCCCAAAAAGAAGCCACAGAGATGAGTTTTCAGGAGTTGAGCAAGGCCGTTGAGGACAGGGTATTTTTGGAGACTGCTTGTTCGTGGGGTCGCGGTAAGTCAAAGGCGACTTTGATGGCACAGAGCAACAACAACAACAACAAAGCCCACAGCGGCACAGCAAGGTTAACGGTACCATAGTTAGGTGGGCCACAAACTTGAGGGGCAGAACAAGCAACTTTTTCTACCCGTTGGGGAAGCTCACTCGGATCAGGACCCGCACCCGTCTGTGGCTACTGTCCGCTCTCTGCCAAGAACAACAAGAACGGGTGCCAAGTCATTTAGTGAACTGCTGCTTGTGAAACGACTGTATGTCAAAATGTTGTGGTGGACAAGTTTTGCCTACTCTTTAACTCCAAGCCGTCTGCTGAGGCACCCTCTCTCTTTCCTGCACAGACCTCTGCTCTAGGGAAAAGCCCGCACCCAGGTCCCAAAATCTCGGACACCTTCCTTCTGAGCAGTAGTTCGAGTCTCATCCGTTATGCTACACAGAGGAGTCCCGCCCTGCAGTTAAAGCACAGAAGCAGGTGTAAATTAGCAGAGGGTGATATATGACGGTGGTGTAGGACATTTCCCTGTGGTTTCCTGAGCACATTTTGGGCCTTTAAGGAAATAGGTCTTTATAACATCACATTCAAGAATGTGGCCTTTTTAGAAGCATGAGAATCGCATGCCTGAATGATCTATTTGAGGTTGGGAATGTGTTCCCACCACCACCACCACCCCCGCCCTTGGTCAGTCAGGAAGGCAAACCCTGCAGGGCAGTTTTGGCCTTCCTGTGCAACAACACAATCCATTTGCTTGATCTATAGAGGTAGGCTGTTATTTATCATATAAACGTCCTTTAATGGTGCAAAGCGCTTTAGAAACGTTGCTTCATTTATCCTCAGCGACCTGGGAGGCAAGTCAATTTCATTCCCATTTTACATGTTGGGAGCTGGCAGAGATTGAGATTTGCAGAGAACACAGACTCTGCAGTGAAGCTGAAATTTAAACCCAAGTCTCTTAGGTCAACCCCGAGCACTGGACAACCCTGTTTTCATCATGCTGTTCCTCCTTCTACAGGCAGGAGTGGCAAGATGCTTTTTCTCCTTCCTGCCCTTTTCTTGCCTGTCTTTAAAAATCCAGATGTGCATTGTTCTGAAAACAAGAGCTGACCATGGCACGTCTTGCTTGAATGCAGGGGCTGGCCTAAAACCTCCTCCCCCAGCTCCCAGGTGGCAGAACCGGTCACTCACACACCAAGCCAGGGTGTGAAGGGCAGCATGGGTTGGCCTCTTCCATCAGCCAAGACACCACCGAGTGCAGATGCTTGCAAAGGACCCAAGGAAGAAGGTGGCGGCAAGCGGGAGATCAGCCTCACCTTCAACCTCACTCAAAAGGAGGACTGCTTGCAGGAAAGCCTGCTTTACTTCAGTGGGAAGAGCTCATACTGCCCGACTTTGCTTTTCACTCCTCTCTTTTAAATTCCTTTGCCTCATGCCTCAAAAACTGTACATTTGAGGACTTGAACTGTCTTTCTGGCATCTTTTTATTATGGCTAAAAAGTGAGATAAAAATCATAGTTATGAATTTTTATTTTATTTTTAAAAAAACCTGTTTGAATAGCTCAATGGTTTAGTTTATCTGCCTGTGGAGCCAGAGGTTGGGAGTTCGGTCCCCCCACTGTTCTTCCAGGGAGAAAAGCCAGCCTGGGTAGCCTTGGGCCAGCAGCACAGTCCCAGGGCACCCCAAGAAGAAGGGAATGGTAAACTACTTCTGAGTATGTTCTCTACCTGGAAAATACTAAAAAGGTCATCAGAAGTCAGAATTGATTATTATTTTTGAATTGAATAAAGCCCTAACCCTTTTGGTTTTGCAAATCTTAGCAAAAAGAAGCAGTATTTATCCTACAGGAGGATTTGGGTTGGAGGGGGCGGGCTCAGCCCAATGGTTTAAACCAAGTATCACACTACAAGTAAGAGATAAGATTTCTACATTTGCTTGATGGCCTAAAGTGCTTTTAGACTCTGATGCTGCAGAATCTGAAACTCGGCCAGCTGCAGATTCACTGCTGTGAGAGATATACTGTACACGTAATTTCTTCTCTTTGGCAGCTGCTAGAAAGAAAGAAAGAAACAACACAGCTAAGCTTCTCCTTCGTCCTGGGTGAGACAAACGGCCACCAGATTCCACTCCCTCCCTCCGAGAT